GTGGATCTGCGGGTTCGGCGGTTATTTCATCTGGCCTCATCACTGCGCCGCACGTTGAGTGATGAGCCGGGCGTTTCCCTGATTGCTCTGTTTGTTCGCATGCCGACGCTTTTCGATATTTGGTTCCAATTGTTTTCATAAGCCGGAAATCTCGAAGGACGTGACCCTGTTTATTGCAAACGGAGCAAGTACGCCGTTCGGTATCTCCTTCTTTCATTCTGGGTGTTGAGTTCACTGGCTGCTGTCAGTTACTGCTTCTAGCCCCCTTCTGGGCTGCTCTGTTGTTGACATCCCAAATATCCACTGGCTCCAAATAAGGATCATTCTCAGCCCCGCTTTTTTCCCTTTCGGCTAAGGCTGTGGAATGGGTATTTTTCCTTTCTTTTCTGCGAAGGTACACCCTCATGTCAGTGAGTTCCACGCTTTTACCCCTCATTTACCTGTCCGTAGCCCAGCCGGTTACTGATTGCCTCTTTGCGGAGGACAGCCCTGCTACAAACCAATTAAAGAGCAACTTCGGATCCAGCATAGGGCTTCGGTTCACCAAGGAGTTATAATTCTCAATGTAGCGCTCTATCGACAGCTTCCCTTGCTTAGGTTTTCGTAATTCTGCAACGGCCTGCTCCCTTGCAGACCGTGGGATAAACCTGCAACGGAGCGCATCGGGAAAGGCCTGCATGGACCTGTTTTGCTCCGGGAACGTGAAGCCTTTGCTTAAGGGCGGACGCCATCGCCAAGGGTCCCGTTCTAATAAGGAGGCCGCCAAAAGTAATTGCAATTCGTCTGGGGCATTTGTAGGCGGATATTTAACTCTAGGGAACTCTACGCCCTCTGCATCGCTGCGCCCATCATATCGCGTAGGACGACACAGCCGAAGGCATTCTTCTTGATTATTTTTTGGAGAGAATGCACTTCCACCGGATTGGATGCCGAAAGAGAGCTGGGTTCTGCTTGCCGAGGCTCCAGACCGTGCGTCGACCCCTTCTCTGTGAGCGGCTCATAATTAACCTCAATTTTGCTGAAGGGGACAGCTGAAATCGAAAGAGATATTGTTTAAGAAAGGAAATGGGTTTTATTTTAATATAAATAAATGAGTGGAATAAAGCTTTTTAATTTTCTTGTGGTTTTTTCCTTTCACCAAAAATTGATGCCAACCGTGTTGGGATTGGACCCGTGCCCAAACCTGCCCGGGTGAACCATGCGGTGCTACCACGTATAACGCTTGCTCGCTGGCCTTTCGCAAGGGAATTGGCGAGCAGCAATATAGGTGAAGTCTTAAATCAAGAGTTTCCCAAAGGCAGATGACCTCCTTTCCCTGTCATGAGGCATCCTGCGCCTTGTGCTCAGGCCTGGATGCTGCTGAGACGAGGCAGCCTGAAATGGGGTTGCAGCGCACCTCGCTGCGGCTGGTAACAGCCAGCCCCACGCGGGAACACAAGGAAGCTTCAACGAAGCTTCCATTGCTGCATGCTTTACCTCTGAATGTATTTCCATAGCGTTAGCTTGTGCTTACACGCAACCTAGCAAGGCCAAGTGAAGGCTCCTGTGCCAACTCATGCTACGAGCCTCACACGTGCATACAAGGAAGCTTCCTTTGATGCAGGCTTTACCTCTGAATACACCTGTAGAACGTTTGTATATGCATCGACGCAACCTACCAAGACCAAGTGAAGGCTCCCGTGCCTATTGCAGACAGAGCACACGTGAGCATAAGGAAGCTTCAACAAAGCTTCCCTTGTTGCATGCTTTACCTTTTTTGACACTTATGGACAATTTGTATCTGTGTGTAGGCGACCTATTGAGACCAAACGAATGTTCCCGTGCTGACCGCAGGCAGACCATGTTACAACGCACGCACCGTCCGATGCCCTTCCGGCGCAGTAAAATGCACCTCGTCACTTTCCCTTAATCACATTCGTCAATCAAGATTAATAATCCGGCTACAATTATGGAGTATGCACGTTAGTGAGTGATCCTGTCTGTTTACAGGCTTCATTGTCGGCAGCCGCAGCCCCGATCCGACTGCAGCAGGTCGTCGTTGAGCCACACCGTACGCGTCAAGTCCAGTATAGTTTACTCGTAATGATGCTGGCGAATTTAGGCAAATGACTCGCTAGCATTGAGGATGCTTCGTCTCTGGTCATTTTTCATTGCTTTTCTGTCGCCGGCCGTTGCGGCGGCCAACGGCCTGCACGACATGGACACTTCGCCTTCCGGCGCTGATGTCATTCGACTGCACAATGAAGTTGTTATAGACAGTCAGAGTTTCTCTTTACAGGGGGGCCCAAGGAAACGCGATGGAATGCCCCTCGCAATAATACCATTAACGCTCTTGACTATCGCCTTGGCATACTTGATCATCCACTGCTTCAGGACCCTCGCAGCCTACCAAGTTCCAAAGAGCTACACATCCCCACAACGAAAGCTGTCAGAACATGCAGAGTCGTTCTGCTCCGTAAGTATCCTCAAATTGCACTGGGCGGAGGAATGCGAAAATTGCGGACTAGCCATATCAACAGCGCCGACATTGGTCCAGGAACACCCGTTTCAGACGAAACCGATTGTGACGTTTACTGCGCCAAACAGAGGCGTTGCAGATGCTTGCAGGATTACTGACGGCGCCGAAGTTGCGAGCTGGAAGCCCATTTGCTCGTAACCACGGTAAGCAACAGGGACAAGCTAAGCCTTTGCGAACTGGCCAGTGGAAACGCTGCGTCTATTTCGCCTTCTTGAGAACAAGCAACGGCATTCATTGGCACTTTCTAGAGTGTGGAATGGTATGATGAGTGGCTGCACTGGTGTGCGGGCCTGCGAGAGTGGGCGTAGGTGGTATGATGGTTCCGATTCCAGGTACTGCCGCCGACAGAGGCTTCGTGCTTGCTGCGAATTAGTCCGCCTGTTTCTTTTTTTGGCTCACCTTTGTCAGGCGCTACATCATGCGCGGAGGCACTGTGCACTCTGGCTTCAACGGCCGCTTACTCCAACATCAAATGCTTCTGATCGCCAGTTGCACGCGGAACGGCGTGGGATTGCTTCGCAGATATCTTGAGAGCGCCACATTTCGGACAGTTGAGGGCAACCATAAGTATTGGGCAGCAAGCTCAGCGTATATTTCACTGAGGCAGCCGAAATTGCACACCGGGCTCAAGGGCTAAAGATGTAAAATGCTTCTAGCCAACACCCGGCTTGTGGGTTAGTTTGGCAGCCTGAAGCCACAGCGCAGTGTACGACAGCGCACTTTGGCAGTGTACACCAGTTTTTGCGAGATA